TTTGCCGGGATCTGGGGGTTATCACACACATTCATGGTATTGAATAGAGAATACTACATACTAGCTATATGCAAGGAATACGTAAGTGTTATTAAACTCCCCCCCCAGTTCAGCTGATGGAAATCCCCTATAGGGTGTTTGCAGAGCTGAAGTCAGTGTTCTGTTAATAGGATCTAATTGGAAATGGTTGGTTTTAAGGAAGTTGCTTGAGTTGCCTGAACCTAATCCTGTGGAAATCCCCAAGAAGTTAATAAGAATGTATGTGCTCCGTCCTGAATGTAGGACAGTGGTTTCCAAACGGAACTAAGCCTTCAGACTTTTGGGTTTAGCAGTCACACTAAGTTGAGAATACAGTAATTCAATGCTCTTTACAAAGGCACAAAACAAACTTCTTAAGTATGTTGTTGAGGTATACGCCCAGTTAAGTACAGTGACTGTGCGTACACGCGGTTCCGTCACGTGCTGCAACGGAGACGCTTCCCATTCACTTTGAATGGGGTGACGTCCCGCTTTGTCGAACTGCATTGTGGTTCCGTCGCGTCGCTTTGCCTCCGTTGCTCGCTTCGAAAGTTGAAAAAAAGTTCAACTTTTCAAGCTTCGACGGAAGCGCCAGCCAATCAAATCATATGCCAGTACAAGCGCTAACCAATCAAACCGCATTGCTTGTGTGTCCGGGGCGGGAGATTAATGTGATTGGTTGCTGGTCGCCCACCGGCAAGCTTCAACGCGACGGAACCGTGTGGACGATACGTAACAGTCAAATGTACCTCTGACTTAAGCTATTGCCTTTGTCTAGTTTGATTAGATTATATTCAACTTTATTGTTGTTGCACATAATACAACGTAATGCAGGTTTCATCCAACCAGAAAGTGCAAAGAGTAGATACAGTTTATTCACAGTAAATTCAAAGTTTCTTAGTAACATACACAGATTAGGTGCAGGATTTAGGCACAAGTTAAATACAGTTGTTATAAATACAGATTAAATAACTATTAAAACAGATGTAATAACTATATGTCACAAAGCAGTCTAATTCCACTTGTGTTTTTGATTATGCTTAACCTCTGTTAGGAGGAATATTTTATCAAATGCAAATCATGATCTCATTTCAGCTCTAGAAAGTATAAGGTATTTATGTGGTTGACGATTCAGCTCTTTCCTGTTTAAGTGCATTTAAAGGTGGGGTAGGTAAGTTTGAGAAACCGGCTCGAGATATACTTTTTGTTATATTCCATGGAATGCTCTTAACATCCCGATAGCAATGAATATCTGAAGTGCTTTGACAAAATGTCATCTGTGGAAGCCGTAGTACTGTAAAAAGCACGACCAATCATTTGACCCGGCCCGGCTAAAATAACTGGATGGCCTACCTGCCTGTCAGCCTTCCATCTGTGCACAAACTTATCTCGTGCCCTCATTGGTCATGTGCGCGTTCGAGTGTGTTGGAGGAGGGGCTCTGTAAGGAAGTGGCAGATTTCTTCCGGCTGTGTATTTTCGAATTCTAGCGCACTCGAGCCGGTTTCTCCAAAATTACCTACCCCACCTTTAAGTTATGTATTTCTGTAATTTACATTAGCCTAAAGTGCTGGGGAAACATGTACAAAATATATGTTTAATCGGGAAAGTGGTGGAAATCAAATTCATTTGGAAGTTGCTAATACTAAAATGTGTTTCATCGTCTATAGACGGCAGTTTAATAGAGTTGCTATTAGCTACTAGTTAAGCGGGTCTGATGTAGATTGCTGCGCGGGAACTGTTGCCTCTTTCGTTGTTTTCTAACTGGAGTGGTCAAACCTGTCCTTTTCTGGCCTCGTATGAACCGGCCTTCCTGCTCAGCCCCTTGGCGCATTTCTGTCCCTAATTAATGCCCCTACTGCAGTCTCTTGTTAAAGACGTAGATGGATAGAGGAAGTGAAAAGGGGGAGGGGGGAGAGAGAGTGATTGAGTAGAGAAGGGAACTATCTAATATTGATTGTATTTGCATAAATAGCTGCAGTTGTTGTTAAAAGCCCTGCATGATCCCACTTGCTAGCTTTGCTTTCTAGAGGCTGAATGACGGGGAAAAATGTTGTTTGGAGTAAAGAAAATGCATGGATTTCCCGCAATGCGACATTGTGTAAGCCTCTCAATCAAGCCATGCCTAAGGCTAAGCCACTACCTGTTCACTTTGTAATTTGCACCAATTATAGTGCCATTAGTGAGTTCCCTGTAGAAAAGCAGAAGATAATGATACTCTTTTGTTGAGTTGGTCATCAATACAATTAGGTTAAAAAAAACACCTGGGGAGCGACTTTTAGTCTGTAGTCTATTAGTCTTTAGTCTGCATATCAGGGATGGCACTTAAGGTGGCATTTGTAATAGAGGGGCATCATGGTGAAGTGCATAAAGAAAAAGGGAGATAAGGATTGCTTTCTCTTCTCTTGCCTTGTCCCCATCATCCATGCTGCTCTCAGTTTACTTCCCTTCCAGCTCTGCAGTCTCTGCCCCTGGACCCTCAGTGAGGTGAGCCCTGATGATCCTGTGTGTGCAGGCAGGGGCTGGAATATAGATGATACTATTAGTCGGTGTTGTGGAAGTACAGAGAGTGAGTCGCAGCATGCAAAGGAGTGTAGCACTGCATGTCTGTGTATGCATTTTAAAAAGTGTCTTTAATGATATTGAAGATTTACTATAAGCTGTAGCCCTCTCTGCGGTTTTAGAGGTTATGCAGAGGAGGATTTTGGGTCCTATGGTCCTATTGCCAAAATAGCAGTGTTCAAATATATATTTATATCCAGCTACAATCATTACATTACATTACATACAATCATTTTTTGGCACTGACTTGATTAGAATCCTCAGTTATTTTCCTCTTAAGAATAGAGTGAGAGTCTAAACAACCTTTCGTATCATTTAACTTTTTAGCATTTATGCAATTAAAAGTTTAATAATAGTATGAAAAGTTAATTGATTCCGTGTGAAAACCATGTTGAGTCTGTGAAAAGTCGACAGGCAACTTCACACATAACCAACAAGCGATCAAACTAAATTTAAACACAATTAAATAGATTTTTCTCCTCACATCACGTCCAATTTGAGTTTGTGTGTTTGTTGTGCTTGTGTCCATTACATATAAGTACCACAAATTACTACAAGCTAATCCGATTCTCATGCCACAGAGGATTATAGACATGTACTTACCGTCACAGAAACTACTGATGATTTCCAGTCTGGTATTGATTTTGGAACAAGAGAATGAATTTGCATTGACTATGTCAGGCAATATATTCTTGTGCTGAGAAGAGCTTAAAGTTACTCATCTGCTGTATTCATGAATTGGGCAGCGTGTGGGCAGTAGCTGGAAACTGGTGGGCAGATAAAGCCATTAGCAAGTGAGTTTTTATGAACTCACACACCCGTTGTGACTGGCAACGTAAAGGTGAATAATATCTTCATGTCTCAGTGTGTATGTGGACCATCAGCATGTGTGTTTGAGTTTTAGTCCATATTTTGAGAGAGCCAGCAGAGCTGATCAGTGTCCATGCTGAGGGCTTTGTCACAGCTGACCTATATTAGATGAAAGCAGCTGGATCAGTGGCCTGCAGGGACAGCAAAAGAGTTGTGTTCTAATTATCTCTGCAGCTAGCTAGCGACGCATCACAGTCGCGCACACACTCGCACAAGTATGCACACGCACTCGCTTTTCGGCAAATCAATTGGAGCTCATGAGAGCATCTGCCATGCTCTGCTTGACGAACGACAGCGGTAGATCCTCTGTTTGGAATTGGCAAGGATACAGCGACTCGTGTCACACAACGCATATTAAAGACCTTGTGTGATCATGGACCATGCGCTTTGGTCTGTGAATGCGACTGCGTGCCACAACTCTATTTTACTAAGCAAAATGTAATTACAAGGTGATGTGCAGCTACAATGAAGTCAGCCTTGTGTTGTGTCATTCAGGAATTGTAGGAATGCATCCAGTCATGTTTTAGAACATTCCTCACTAAATTCAAACTGTAAGTGTCTGGGTATAAGCTGCTGTTGCCATGGAGCCTCAAACCAACACATGCAGAGGTTTTGCGTTAGCTATGAGGCAGAAAATGACAGAGCGAAACCAGCCCTGGTGCTAATGCTATCAGCTAATAGTAAAAACTGGACTAATTGTTAATGGAAGGGTAATAAAGTGTGTGGAACCCCATGGCATCCTTAAATGTGACTGCGGTTAGCATTTAGCATTCAGCTCACTCAGACACATCAAGGACAAACGCGCACCACTTTGTTCTCTCTTTTGCCCAATTATTCCCATTTAACACATTTTGTATACACAAACACACAAGGCCGAGTTGTGACACCAGGTGACACATTTTTTTTTCTTTCTGTGTACGTAAGACCCAGTGTGTATTTTTTTATGTTTTCTTAAGTCCAAGTGATTTCACACATTCTGCTACCTTTAGGAGGTAATCGGATGCAGCATGCACTCAATTAAGCTGTTGGCCTCTAAGATTGCTCTGCTCTCTCTTTCTCTCTCTTTGTTCTGCCTCTTTTTCTTTCCGACCCTCACTTCAGCACTTACATTACTTCCCATTACTAATCTTGTTCTTTCCACATGCACTTCACTGTTCTTATGCTTTCTTTGTCCGTCCATTTGTGGATCCAGGGCCTTTAGCACTCCAAGCAGGGGAGCTGTATCCTTAGCCAGGCAGTCAGGGGAGCGTCTTGTTTCAGGACCAACGGGCACAGCGGCACATTTTACACCACATTGAATCTTTAGGCACCGCCGGGGATTGTTTTACAGGTCGGGGCTTATGAGGAGGGGTGATTTTTCCATGACAGAGAAAAACTGTACTGTACCTTCTTTAGAGAAATGAAAGAGAAACAGTGCTTCATGCTTCCTGTCAGGTACGATTGTGTTTGCATAAATCCGCTCATTTGAGCATTTTGCATTTTGAGCTTCTCTGATGATTTTCTTTTGGTTTTTCTTTTCCTCTTCCTCTCTGCAGAGTGACTGAAAGCGACTTATTTAGCCGGCCGTTTCTACCTGACGACATGGAGCACCATTTCCTGATGAGACTGTGGTAAGTATGCATGTGAACACACAAGCACACACAATCACACGTGTAATTCCTGCAGCTACTTGCCACCTGTACCCTCACATATAAATCCCACTTCTGTCTTGTGCGTCCTTGAAATTCATCTCCTGAAGGAGTACACAAGGGTTCCCAGTGGAATCTCTCAAGGATTAACCGGCGGCAGTAGAGCCGCTTTAAGCAAGTGTGGATCTGAAGCGTGCCACTCACTCTCTCTCTCCTCGGTCGCTGGTCTCTTGGGTTTGATCTCACGTGTGAAGCAGTATTGATTGAGTTCCTCTTTGTAGATGTTGTGCTTTTGAAGCTGCAGTCCATATTCATGGCAGAACACAATTGAAGTTGTACCTACCATGCCTGGGATGGGAATGCTGCTTTTCAGAGGTCACAGGAGGCACTGTTCGGGCCTCATACAGGAAGCATAACACCAACACATTTCCTCTTATTGTCTTTCTTATTTTGTTATAACCAACTGATTTCTAGGATTTTCCAATTTCCTCTTATTTTTGCTATTCTCTTTGGTAAAATAAACGTTGATGTAGGGTTAGAGCACTCTTACCAAGATAAGAACAATTATTTCGTTTTTTCAGTCCACAAATTGTTTGTCCAGCAAGAAGAACATGTTTTTCAGTTTTAGGAACAGAGGATAAGATATATATTCTAAATGTGGTTATTATATATTCCAAAGAAGACGATAAGGATGATATTGTGTGCTTGCAGGTGCTGAATGGCTGACATTCTGCTCTTATAGGTTTTTTTATTTTTCTTGTAACGCCAGTACACGAATAGCACATGTTAATTTTGTAAAACGTTTTTTTGGCAGTGGTATTCACCATTCAGAATCAGAATCAGAATCAGAATACCTTTATTAGTCCCACAGAGGGGAAATTTGCAGCGTTACAGCAGGAAAGAGCCACAGACAGCTTAGTGTTGCATATCTTACATGCGTTAAAAAAAGTACTAAGTTATAATATAATAAACAATATGCTAAAAAAAAGATAAAAACTAAAGAAGTTACATAATTTTCAAAAATACAGATCAAAAACAAATCAAATCTACAAATCAAATCCTTTTGCAGTTCTTAGGATTTAGCAGCCCGGTATATATTACAGTTATTAAAGATGGCATATGTAGCCTATATAAAGTATATATTGCACATAGTTTGACGGTATTTAAAAGCAAGTTACACAATTTACAAAATACAAGATACGTACCTTGTAACAGTAACAAGGTTTTAGCAGCCAGGTATAAATTACACAGTTATTAACGGCATATATATATATATAGCACATATAGCACATATTGCACAAAGTTGGTTTGGTTCAGCACGACTGAGATCAAATTTGGATGGTAAAGAATGCTTGGTGCATTTAGAGTTGACTGGTATTATTATTTTGTTTTTTAAGAGAACATTTTCGATAGTCTTGCTACATGAGGCTTATTCTTTTGTAGGAACCTTGACACGACAAAGCTGGCCTTACATTTTGGAAAACGATTAGTGAAGAGAATGATACAGAAAGAAAGGAGATACAGATGACAGACAAGTGCTGGCTGGCACAGTAGTAAAGTAAAAAGTAAAAGGCAGGGCCGACCGATTGTGCTGGCCCGAGGTTGTACTACTATTCTTAGCCTCCGTCTCCTCCTTTCTTCACACTCTTCTCCCCTCCCTTCTTCCTCCGGAGTCTTTTGTTACCGCTGTGACGCCGACGCTCTTCAGTCCATGGTGTCTGGAAGCACTCTGGATCTATGTGCTGCTCCTCTTTAATTGGCTTAAACCACTTAACTGTCTCCCATCCATCTACTGTACCTCCCATCTATTTGTCATTTGGTTTATTTTAGCTATTCACCTATTCATCCATCAGCACCTCAGCTGATTCAGTCATAAACCCCTCTGTTTTGTTAAGTCTGATAAACCAGACACCAGGCTATGAAGGGCCATTAGAGACTAAGTGCCCCGTGTGAGCATTTCCCCGTGAGGTGATGGTAAGGCAGGATGGATGTGATGCTTTATACAAGTGAAAATACCGAATCATCAAAAATGTAATAAACCGGATATCCTTTGCACTGTTGCTACGGTGATATTCCATGCCTGTTATATCTGTCAGGGCCATTCACTTCTGACAGGTGTGTGTGTGTGTGTGTGTGTGTGTGTGTGTGTGTGTGTGTGTGTGTGTGTGTGTGTGTGTGTGTGTGTGTGTGTGTGTGTGTGTGTGGATATTTACCAGAAGAAATCGTAACACTGAGATATCAAGTCATCATGTAGCGGAAAAAACAGGAAATTATTTTGTGATTATTTTTTAAGATACCACAAGTCAACACAATTTAAATAAAACACGTGGCGAGGATATTGCTCCACTCACACCTGCGGCCACTAACGCTCATCATGTCTCTGCTTTGTTTCAAGACCCGCATCAGAAAGCTCTTGAATGGTGCTACTTTTCCAGTTGGTCTACCTGCTCTTCACGTAGCTCTGCATGTCGTAGTTTAGGTGCTTTTTTTTTCTGGAGATAGGCACTGCTCAATCCACTCCTCCATACTATAGTAAGACCCCCCCCGGAGGTCGAAATTAATCTTAAATGTTTCCATTTTATGCTTTGTAAGTTTGTTTCGTAACGGAAGAAATTTAAATATATTTATAAAACTGACAAGTCAAATCAAGCAATCTGATTGGTCGATAGCGTTTTTGCGGACCTCTTTGATTACAGATTTGAAAACATCGTTGCTTGCTTTAAAAGTAGCACAATTAATTATGTTAAACCTTCAAAAGTATCTAGATATCCCTGCCCTAATGCCAAAGGAACTGCACACTGAATATGTTTTGCCGTTTGATGTCTATGTCTGGACCGCTGCGTCAAAAAGGAGGGCTTCTGCCCAGCTTCTGTCCCGTTACTTCTCCGCTGCTTTCTTGTTCCAGTATGAAAAGCAAACTGCAGGCAGTTTACAAAAACAGTAGAAAAACAGTATACCGTTGGGTATACTGTTTTTCTCAGACGCGGAGGGATACTGACTTGTTGTGAAAAGTAACTTACAATTCTACCCGTGGTATACGCTCAGTATATCACGGCTAAGAACCAATCAGATTGCTTGATTTGACTTGTCCGTTTTATAATGTAATTTATAACATATTCATTTATATAAAATCTTGCATGAAAATCTTAGTATGAAAAGGAACAATTAGGTTTGCTGTAAATACATTTTAGTGTAGTAAAATACCAATATTTCTCCCTGAAATGTAGTAGTATAAAGTAGGCTACTAGCTAACAGCTTGGGTCCATGATTACTTCCTGTTAGCTGATGTCACTCAAATACATAGCAACAGGAGACAAAGTGGGACATTCAGACTTTCTTATGTTTATAGGGGTCTAAATAGGGTTGTATGAAGTTAACTAGCATTATCATCCCGATTTTTTGCATACTGTTTTGGCTCTGTGATTCTACATCATTTTACAGCAAAGTGAGCTCTCTTAAAAAGGCCTTAAATTGATGTCATGTGAGTTGTATTTTGCGGAGATGAGTCACCTCCCTCCATTTTTCCCCCTTCACTCAGGTTCCACTTGTGAATGGGTGCCTGTGTGGGTGTGCATATATTATCACATGCACGTGTGTGTGTACTTAATTCTTGCATGCTTGTGGCTCTGTTCCCAGTCTCCTAGCTGGCACACAGCATATGGTTTCTAAGAGAGTAAAACTTCAAACAGCAGCTTTCTGCAGTAGTGAAGGACAGCATCTCATTAGAAAGCACATTAGGATGTGTGTAGTTTGGCTTGTGTAGCTGTGAAGAAGTAGACAGAAGTGAGCCTGCTGGAGAATAGGTTATCAATTGTGCTTCTTGATTATCTTCAGTGCAGCTTATCAGCAGCAGATAAGAGAATTAACCTGATCAATTTCCCTGTAGCACTGCTGCATGCCAACCATCTTTAACACATTATTACATGAATGGTTACATGTAATATACTTTCTTGTTTTGATAATATACTCACTAAGATAAATATACCTTACTAATAGTTATTATATTGTTTTATTTCTCATATCAAAAAGTGATTTACTCACCCGCTGCTTCTTCCCCGAGCTGCACAAACAGAAGCCTATCCATCAGTGTCAAAAGCTTCAGATCCTGCTTCACATTACTGACAGGAAAATGGACACAATAAAAGAGAGATAACAAACAAACATGTAATAAATGTGTTCACTATTTTGTGCCACGGGGCTCGTGAATGTCTTTTAAAAGACTGATTGTGTTGTTGTCAAGCCCAGAGAAAAGGCAACAAATAGAACTCAGATAAAAAATAAATAATCGGGAACGTTTTTCTTTCAAAGATTATTCTTGAAAACACTTTAAAATGATTAATAGAATTGTCCTGAAAATTTCAATTTTGATTATAAGATGTTATCAGTCTTGAAAATGAAGCAAGTATTATTAGTTTGGAAATGACTGATTTTATTTTCCTCTGGACCTTTATCTTTCCATCTTTCCTTTTGTCTTCCCTCTCTTTTTTCTACCTCACTGCAGATGATAAATGGATATCTTTCATCAATGTTGAAAGCAGGGCTCATCTGTTCTCAACTACTCAAGTCCCATATCATACATGGAAAGAAATAGGAGAAAATGAAGCAGGAATACCTGTGTGTGTGTGTGTGTGTGTGTGTGTGTGTGTGTGTGTGTGTATAGCTGTCTGAAATGAGGGAAGTGATGGAGGCGTGTGTGTGTGTGTGTGTTGTGTGCGTGCGTGCGTGCCGTGCGTGCAGTGCCGTGCGTGCGTGCCCGTGCCCGTGTGTGTGTGTGTGTGTGTGTGTGTGTGTGTGTGTGTGTGCGTGCGTGCGCGCGTGCGCGCGCGCGCGTGCGTGCGTGTGTGTGTGTGTGTGTGTTCTAACCGATGGGCACTGGTCATGCGATCCCTGCTGCTGTCTCATTATCCAGATTTGATGGATGGCTTTGATTAAATCATATGAAGGGTGAGGCCGAAACACACACACACACACACACACACACA